TAGATCAGATCAATGAAACTAGAAGCTGGTTCTTTGAAAGAATTAATAAGATCGATAAACCACTGGCCAGACTTATCCAAAAGAAAAGAGAAAGGACCCAAATTAATAAAATTATTAATGAAAGGGGAGAGATCACGACTAATACCAAGGAAATAGAAACAATTTTTAGAAATTATTATCAACAACTATATGCCAATAAACTAACTGAGCAATCTGGATGAAATGGATGCCTTCCTGGAAACCTATAAACTGCCAAGACTGAAACAGGAAGAAATTGACAACCTGAATAGGCCAATAACCAGTAGCAAGATTGAAGCAGTGATCAAAAACCTCCCAAAAAACAAGAGCCAGGGGCCTGATGGATTCCCTGAGAAATTCTGCCAAACATTCAAAGAAGAAATAATACCTATTCTCCTGAAGCTGTTTCAAAAAACAGAAACAGAAGGAAAGCTTCCAGACTCATTCTATGAGGCCAGCATTACCTTAATCCCCAAACCAGGCAAAGACCCATCAAAAAGGAGAATTTCAGACTGATATCCCTGATGAATATGGACTCCAAAATCCTCAACAAAATCCTAGCTAATAGGATCCAACAATACATTAAAAGGATCATCCACCACGACCAAATGGGATTTATCCCCGGGATGCAAGAGTGCTTCAACGCTCGCAAATCAAGCAATGTGATAGGAACACATTAATAAGAGGAGAGAGAAGAACCATATGGTCCTCTCAGTTAATGCAGAAAAAGCATTTGACAAAATACAGCATCCTTTCCTGATTAAAACTCTTCAGAGTATAGGGATAGAGGGAACATTCCTCAAGTTCATAAAATCCATCTATGAAAAACCCACAGCAAATATCATCCTCAATGGGGAAAAGCTGAGAGCCTTTCCCTTAAGATCAGGAACACGTCAAGGATGCCTGCTCTCGCCACTATTGTTCAACATAGTACTAGAAGTCCTAGCAACAGCAATCGCACAACAAAAAGAAATAAAAGGTATTCAAATTGGCAATGAAGAAGTCAAACTCTCTCTCTTTGCAGATGGCATGATACTTTATGTGGAAAATCCAAAAGACTCCACCCCCAAATTACTAGAACTCATACAGCAATTCAGTAATGTGGCAGGATACAAAATCAATGCACAGAAGTCAGTTGCTTTCTTATACACTAACAATGCAACTGTAGAAAGAGAAATTAGAGAAATGATTCCATTTACAATAGCACCAAAAACCATAAGATACCTTGGAATAAACCTAACCAAAGAGGTAAAGGATCTATACTCTAGGAACTACAGAACGCTGAAGAAGAAACTGAAGAAGACACAAAAAGATGGAAAAACATTCCATGCTCATGGATCCCAAGAATAAACATTGTTAAAATGTCTATGCTACCCAGAGCAATCTATACCTTCAATGCCACCCCGATCAAAATTCCAATGACATTTTTCAAAGTGCTGGAACAAACAATCCTAAAATTTGTATGGAATCAGAAAAGACCCCAAATCGCCAAGGAAATGCTGAAAAAGAAAAACAAAGCTGGGGCATCACGTTCCTGATTTCAAGCTATATTACAAAGCAGTGATCACCAAGACAGCATGGTACTGGCACAAAAACAGACATATAGACCAATGGAACAGAATAGAGAGCCCAGATATGGACCCTCAACTCTATGGTCAAGTAATCTTCAACAAAGCAGGAAAAAACATGCAATGGAAAAAAGACAGTCTCTTCAATAAACGGTGCTGGGAAATTGGACAGCCACATGCAAAAGAATGAAACTTGACCATTCTCTAACACCATACACAAAGATAAACTCAAAATGGATGAAAGACCTCAATGTGAGACAGGAATCCATCAAAATCCTAGAGGAGAACATAGGCAGTAACCTCTTCAACATCGGCTACAGCAACTTCTTTCAAGATATATCTCCAATGGCTAGTGAAACAAAAGCAAAAATGAACTTTTGGGACTTCATCCAGATAAAAAGCTTCTGCACAGCAAAGGAAACAGTCAACAAAACAAAGAGGACATCCACAGAATAGGAGAAGATATTTGCAAATGACACTACAGACCAAGCACTGATTTCCAAGATCTATAAAGAACTTCTCAAACTCAACACCCAAAAAACAAATAATCAAGTCAAAAAATGGGCAGAACACATGAACAGGCACTTCTCAAAAGAAGACATACAAATGGCTAACAGACACATGAAAAATGTTCATCATCATTAGCCATCAGAGAAATTCAAATCAAAACCACATTGAGATACCACCTTACATCAGTTAGAATAGCAAAAATGGACAGGGCAAGAAACAACAAATGTTGGAGAGATTGTGGAGAAAAGGGAACCCTCCTACACTATTGGTGGGAATACAAGTTGGTACAGCCACTTTGGAAAACAGTGTGGAGGTGCCTCAAAAAATTAAAAATAGAGCTACCCTGTGACCCAGCAATTGCACTCCTGGGTATTTACCCCAAAGACACAGATGTAGTGAAAAGAAGGGCCGTATGCACCCCAATGTTCATAGCAGCAATGTCCGCAATAGCCAAACTGTAGAAAGAGCCGAGATGCCCTTCAACAGATGAATGGATAAAGAAGATGTAGTCCATATATACAGTGGAGTATTACTCAGCCATCAGAAAGGATGAATACCCAACTTTTACATCACATGGTTGGGACTGGAGGAGATTATGCTAAGTGAAATGAGTCAAACAGAGAAAGTCAATTATCATATGGTTTCACTTATTTGTGGAACATAAGGAATAGCATGGAGGACATTAGGAGAAGGAAGGGAAAAATGAAGGGGTGGAAATGGGAGGGGGAGAGGAACCATGAAAGACTATGGACTCTGAGAAACAAACTGAGGGTTTTAGAGGGGACGGGGGTGGGGGGATGGGTTAACCTGGTGATGGGTATTAAGGAGGGCACATACTGCATGGAGCACTGGGTGTTATACTAAAACAATGAATTGTGGATCACTACATCAAAAACTAATGATGTATTGTATGGTGACTAAGATAACATAATAAAATGAAAATAAATTTTAAAAAACATGCACTTGAGGAAAATGAAAAGTGATCCCAAAAGTCTGAGAAGGAATGGCACGTAAATAAGTGATAAATATGTATGTAAATCCAAACGTTGTCTGTATAAAATAATTCTAATAATATCTAATTTATTAAGTTAAAAGAACAGAATTAAAATGCAGAAAATAATCACTTATAAGTCAAGTGAAGATGTGATCAGTAGTAAAGAGTTTTAAAGTCTTTGCAATATTCTTTGAGTTGTTTAAACTTGGATTTGCAAATATATCATAAAATTTCAAGGATAATCACCCAAAGAATAGATATAGGTTTTAAATTTAAAACAAATAGAGAGGGGTAAAAAAAAAAAAAAAAAAAACCCTAGCCACTTAAAAAACAATATACAAAAACCAAAAGGTAAGAAAGGAGGGAAAAAACAGAAAAATGGACAAATAAAATTAAAATGTAAGTATAGGGGTACCTGGGTGGCTCAGTCAGTTAAGTGTCCGACTCTTGATATCAGCTTGGGTCTTGATCTCAAGGTTGTGAGTTCAAGCCCCACATTGGACTCCACACTGGGTGTGGAGCCTACTTAAAAAAAAAAGGTAAGATAGTATAAACACAGCAAATATACCAATAACTACACTAAAAGCAAATAGACTAAATCTGCCAGTTAAAAGGCACAGATGAGGGGGGAGGAGGGAGAATTCAGCTTTAAATTGTTTTGTTTTGTTTTTTTCAGCTTTAAATTGTTAACAAGAGATATACCTAAAGCATAAGGCCATGAAAAGGTTGAAATAAAAGTATGGAAAAAGATAATAACCAAAAGAAAGCTGGAATAGCTATAGTAATATCAAACAAAGTAAATTTCTAGATGAAAAGCATCACTAGTGAAATAAAAGGTCAGTGCATAGAGATAAAAAATTCAATTCTCCATGAAGATACAACAACTCTAAACTTGTATATACCTCTTAAAACATCCACGAATTACATCTTTTTAAACAATGAAAGTACTGTAGAGAGAAACTGACATATCTACTACTCAAAGAAATTTCACATTTTTTTCCCTCAATTATTGATGGGTCAAACAAACAAAAATAAATGGGCACCTATAGATGTTGGCACCTACCATTAGAGAATATATATTGTACTCAAGCACACATGAAACATTGTAAAAATTGATCACCTATTAGGCCATAAAACAATTATCAACAATAAAAAAAGTAAAGACTTGAAAGAGGTATGGAAGTTCATATACTCAAATCTTCTCTTTAAGAAACAAAAGCTCACCTACTTTAGGAAGTCTTCCTCAATCACCCTTCTCTAGCACTGATACCACTGACTTCAATCCTCAGATTGATATTTAAATATGGCTTCTTTCATTTTAATTAATGGATACATGAGTAATTACTATTTTACACATGTATATATTAATCTCCCCCAAAGAAATCACATATTTCGAAGAAGTGTATCTAAGTCAATTTGTCTTACTCTTACAAATAAAAAGAGCTTCACAACTCAGTGGATAAATGAAGGAGCAACATGTCAGGTAGAGAACAAACTTAAAGGAGGGCATCAGGCCTGAAGGTAGCATTTTCTTTGGAGTCCCTCATTTCACAGATTAGACCCAGCCCTTTGGATGTGGACAATTTATGCCCAGTCCATGGATAAGAAGACTTGTCCATTGACAACGTGTACAGCAGAGACAAGGGACCTAGAGATGAATCCTGACTTCCCCATTTAATAGCTTGGTGAACTTGACAAGTCTCTAAACCTCACTGAGGCAGTTGCTACATCTGTAAAACGGGAATAATATCCACTTCTCACACCTATTGTGAGAACTAAAAGTCAATGTTGAGTGTATCTAGCATGCAGTAAGTGCTCCATGAATATTTCCTTCTCCTTTCCTAAGGAAGAAAGAGGAACTTATGTTTTTCCTCAAGAGTCTGGACTGAAAAAGGAAAATTGCATCTTACCTGGGAAGTGGTCATCTCTTCTTCCTCCTAGGCAAGGTCAGGGAGTTAAGGAGGCAGAGCTGGAGGAGGAAGGAGCCATGAGACACCAAGCCTTCCTTGCAGCTCCCAGAGAGTGTGGCCATTGTTCTGCCTTGTCTGAACCATTCCCTCAACCCCCCTGCCCTATGTTGCCTTCTTTTCTCCATGCTACAGATTGTTCACCATCTCAGTTAAGTTGTCCTTCCTCTGTTCTGAGTCAAACCTCGACAGTGTCTCCCTGTTCGCTGAAAGTGGTCACGTGACCCAAGCCTTGCTAAGTAACCTCTGCAGCCCCAGCAGCTCCACAATCCCGTCCTCCTCCACACCCCAGCCTTGGCTCAGTTTTGGCAGGCCTCAGGTCACAGGTGTGTCCCCTCAAGGACGGGTTCCAGCTGCCTGTGTTGCTGCAGCCTTCATTCATTAGTGCATGGCTTGTTCCCACTGGCTCAGGAACAGCATGTCCTTGGCTGGCAACTTTCTCCAGGGCTCCAAATCTCTATCCGGCCCCCTCCCCCCAACAAGTCTTCGAAAACCCAACCGGGCTCAAAGCTCCGCTAAGCACCTCTCAGGATACATACCTGGAGGAACACGGGCTAGGGACCTCTGGACAGAAGAACGGCAACGCAGGCGACCAAACACTTTAGGGAGAAACCTGAGGCACCAAAGGTTGGATGCCCCCGGGGCCACACTGCTCTGAGAGGGGAGACACAGGATCGCGGCCCCGACCTGGGAGGCGCTCAGAGCCGGAGCAGCCGGTCACAGGGCTGCGGAGCCAAGCCTGGAGTCGGAAGGAGAAAGGGATCCACGAGCCACTTGGAGGCAGATGCCACTAACCCCCGTCGGAGATGAGCAGAGCACCGTGAGGTGAGTGCTTTAGAGAACCCGAAATGTTCCCACCCTCTACAGTCAAATCTCGGCATCACACTCTTTTCGAGACCATCGCCCCCGGGGCCCCAGATTTGGGGGTTCAAGTCCCTCCATCGCACCCGCACTCCGGCGTTCTGATCTCCATCGTTCCGCTGACCCCTACTGCCCCTGTAAGCCCCAGTCTCTCCGCGAGTGACTGCTGGCGCTGCGAAGAGCTCGGTGGCCGGGACTAAGCCCGCCGCCCGGCAGCACTGCGCCTGCGCGCGGGGAGCCCGCGGCACCTCCCACAAGACCCCGCGGCGCGCCGCCTCAGTGCCCCCCGGCTGCCGGGTGAGCAACCTGGCCCCGCGACGTGCAGAGATTCCTCTGCCAGCCCTGCCGGTAGGTAGGAAAGTCACTTTTTAATTTCAGTTCCTGGGATCCTCAGTGGGAGGACGTTCTCCCTCCTTCCGATGTGGAAGCTTGCGCCGCACGGCAGAGCTCCGAGCCCGAGCCTCGCACTTGGGAGTCTGGCTTCTTAGGGGTTGGGGCTAAGAGACGGGCAGGGACTGGGTCCTCTTATTTGGCCGGTGGTCCTTTCTGGAATGTCATCGCACTGGCTCCTCTGGGCCGGCAGGCGTTCTCAGATAGGGTCGCCCGGGGCCTGGGTGTGCGGCCCTCCCTCTCGCACAGTTCTCTGATGCGTAGCCCCAGCCCAAGGTGACCCCGCCAAACCCCGGGCCTCTCCCCCGTCCCCAGGCAGGACACTTAATGTGATATCGACTTGGCCGCCCTTCCTCCCTCCTGTTTCTATACAGGTTTCCTACCTCCTCCTTGTAAGCAGCCTCAATCTGCACGAGGGCATCTCTTAGAATCCTCACTTGATTTTTGGAGCAAACCCCGGGGGGCATTCTCCCCCAAGGCTTGATTCATGGCTGCTGGTTTCCATCCCCACCCGCCAACTAATCTTGAAGTTATTTCAGGTGGTGGGGGTTGTCAGAACAGGTCTGGGGAAATGGTGGAGGATGGAGAAGCCTGTTTGGTCACCTTTTAGTAAGTCCTGGAAATGGAGAGGTTGTCTGGCCCCCAGTTATTTATGGCTCTCTTTACATTGTGGGGTGCTTAATGCCTCACCTCTTAATCCTAGTTTCCATCTGAACTAAAGGACAAATCCCAGTTAACGTCATGTTCTGCACCTGTGACTCTGGTAGTCGGCCCTGTTCACAAATGTTCTGGGTTCCCTCCTCTTTCCAGTACATGGTAGGACTGCAATTTCCCATCCCTTGGAAGTTAGTGATGACAGTGCAAACTGGCCACAAAATATGAGCAGAAGTACTGTATGCCACTTCCAAAGGGATCTTTTAGGAGCCAATGCACAATTTGTCATGTTTCTTTTCCCTCTGCCCCAGAAATTGTAATGTTCAGTGTGTAGGCAGCCTCTAAAATGACCCCCAATTATCCCCTGCACACTTCAGGTCTCTGTCACATTTTGGTAATTCTCGAAATTTCAAACTTTCTCATTTTTATATTTGTTATTGTGATCTATGATCAGTGATTACCACTTGCTGAAAGCTCAGATGATGCTTAGCATTTTTTAACCAGAAAGTATTTTTTCAATTAAGGTATGTACATAGTGTTTTTAAACATAATGGTATTGCACACTTATACAGACCACAGTATATACAGTATATACACACATATACATGTAATATAACACATATACATACAGTATATATAGTATATATATACATATACAGGCTTATAACATTTTAAGATTTTATTTGTGATCTTTCAGCCTCCATTCTTTTTTATTTGTCAGAGAGAGAGCACAAGCAGGGGGAGTGGCAGGCAGAGGGAGAAGCAGGCTCCCCGCTGAGCAAGGAGCCCAATGCAGGACTTGATCCCAGGACCCTGAGATCATGACCTGAGCCAAAGTCAGACACTTAACCAACTGAGCCACCCAGGCACCCCTGGGCTTATAACTTTTAAATGCACTGGAAAACCAAAAAAATTTGACTTGCTTTATTGCAGCAGTCTGGAACTGAACCTGCAATATCTCCAGGGTACGTGTGTACTTCAGTGACAACCCCTGTGTTAGTTATAGGGGATTAAACTGCTGTAACAAATAGACTTCCCAATGCATTGGCTCAAGCAAAATAGGAGTTCCCTCCTCTTCCTTATTTCACAGTACAGGGTAGGTGGTCCATGTTGGTGTGCAGCTCTCTCCCATGTGGTCATTCAGTGACTTAGTCCGTTAAGGCTGCTATAACAAAATGCCATAGACTGGGTAGCCTACAAAGAACAGAAATTTCTCATAGTTCTGAAGGCTGAAAAGTCTGAGATCAGGGTGCAGCATGGTCAGGAGAGGGACCTCTTCAGGCTGGCAGACTTCTTGTACCATCACATGGCAGAAGGGGCTAGTGAGCTCTGTGGGACCTCTTTTGCAAGGGTACTAATCCCAATCATGAAGTCTGCCCTGATGACCTAATCATCTCCCAAAGGCCTCACCTCCTAATACCATCACCTTGGGCATGAAGTTTTCAACATATGAATTTGAGGAGAACACAAAAGTTCAGACCATAGCAGTGATCCAGACTATAGTGGCTCTGCCCTCTTCAACACATTACTTCCAAGGCTGCTCTGGCTGACAGTCTAGCCACCAGAAGAGCATCTCCACTCCCAACACCCTAGTCCAAAGCACCATCATCTGTTGTCTGGACTTTGGAACAACTGCCTCTTAACTGGTCTCCCTATTTGCCATCTTGCCATCCCTACTATCTATCCCCCACACACAGCCAGGGAGAACTTTTCAAAAGTAAATCAGACTATACCAGTCTTCTGCTCAAAATCTTCACAACCTTCCCATCACATTTAGAATGCAATGTCACATACTCTGGAAACCTATCTAATGCACAAAACTCATCTCCACATCTCTCCTCCAGCCACACTGGAATTCTTGCTGGTTCTCAACAGGCCAGACTCACTCTTGCCTCAGGATCCTTGCAGGATCTTCCCAGTGCTCCTTCCTTTACTGCATTCAGGTCTCGGCTTAAAGGTCTCTTCTCAGAGGACTTCCTTTGCTACTCCATCTTAGTTTCCTATCACATTCAATGTCCTCACAGGTTTTAAAGAGTTTTACTGGTCAATACCTAAGATGATCATTTATTTGTTTCTTGTTGAGTAAAGTGCTGGTATCTTACGTTTTTTGGTCACTGCTGTGTTATCAGTATACAGTTAGAACAGGGGTAGGCAATCTACACCCGAGGAACAAATCTGTTTTTCTGCCTGTTTTTGTATATAGTTTTATTAGAATACAACCACACTCATCTGTTTGTGTGTCTTTGGCTGCTTTCATGCTACAGCAACAGAATAGTTGTAACAAATTGTATTGCCCACAAAGCAAGGTAACTGATATCTGGCCCTTTACAGGGAAAGTTTACCACCCTTGATCTATGGCAATTAATATTGATACATCAGCTTCCTATTATTTGATTAGTGGATCTTGTACCACTCCTTTATTTTCTATCCTTTCTGGATGATTTGGCTCCAATCTTGCATGCAGCTTATATTTGGATTTTAAAAAACAATCTGCTAGCCTCTGCTTTGGAAAAGTATGGATTTTTAGGCCTCTTTTTTGTTAAGAAAAAGGAGGAGGAATAAAAAGTATCTCCTTCTCCCTCTTGATTAAAATGCAGTGAAGACAGAGAACCCAGAAACAGTCACTCTGACTTTAAAGATATTTGTACCACTGCTGTGTGATGGAGAGCCTTGCTCAAAACAGACTAAATTAATCCTTTCTCTGCCCAACGTAAAGTGATAACTCTTACACTGATTAAGCACACTTACTGCTTTACTAGTTATAATTAATTTCTAGACTTGAAAAAATTATTTGAACTTTTTTTTTTTAGAGAGAGTGTGTGCACTAGGTGGGGAGGGGCAGAGGAAGAGAAAATCTTATGCAGGCTCCGTGCCCAATGGGGAACCCCACACGTGGCTTGATTTCAAGACCCTGAGATCACGACCTGAGCTGAAACCAAGAGTTGGACGCTTAATCAACTGAGTCACCCAGGCGCCCGGAAAACATTTTTTTTTAAAATAAGAGATAGCGTTAGTTCATGAAATAAATTAGTCATATCACCAATTTACCTTCTTTCTTCCTTCTTTTCTCAAAAAAGTATCAGCCTTTGTTTTTGGAGAGCACCTGATTATCTCCCTTTTGCAATGTAACTTATAAAGTGCTTTTGACATGTTAAAAAAGTATCCCTAAATATAATGCAGGCATTATTATTCCTCAGGATAGTGATTTAATCCATTTGCCTTTATGGTGATTAGTGATATACTTGGACACATTCCTGAGTTTTATTCTTCCTTTGTATTTACCATGCTTTTTCCTTGTTGCTTTAGTTTTCCTTTCCTGTGTTCTACTGGATTTATAGTTTTTATTCCCTTTTTTTCTCTCCAGTGACTTGTGACAGTCTGTTTCTTTTAGTGGGTAGCCTTCAGTTTTTATCATGCATATTCAACAAGGTATAAAGTTAATATCTATCCTCTCCCAGAACACAAATTTATAACACTGTAATCCTGATTCCTACCATTTATTCTAATGTTATCTAGAATATTCATTTCACCTTATTTCTAGCCTTCTCCCAAATTAATCCTTAAATTACTTACACCCAACATAAATTCAGATTTATGAACATGTTTACAATTCATTTGTTCATCAATGTCTCTTGCATTCTATTTCCCCCAGTGGCTGATGTTAATGCTGGTTTTCTCAGAAAAATGAGATTTCAGGTAATATTTTCATTAAAATTTTTTGTATGTTATATGTGGTTTTTTTTTTAAAGATTTTATTTACTTATTTGAGAGAGAGAATGAGAGAGAGCACAAGAGAGGGGAGTTTCAGAGGGAGAAGGAGGCTTCCTGCTGAGCAAGGAGCCCAATGCGGGGCTTGATCCCAGGACCCTGAGATCATGACCTGACCGAAGGCAGACGCTTAACTGACTAAGCCACCAGGCCCCCGTTTTTTGTTTTTGTTTGTTTTTTTTAAATAAGTAGTACTATATAAAAAATAACCTATCTTCATACTGGAAAAAATCAACCTAATGTCTGAGTATAACACTAAACAAAGAGAGTGTTGAGTGTTCCTGTTAAAAGGGGGGAAAATGAGGGGCGCCTGGGTGGCTCAGTTGGTTAAGCGACTGCCTTCGGCTCAGGTCATGATCCTGGAGTCCCGGGATCGAGTCCTG